GGTGAGCACACAATGATATGATTTTTTGTTCTTTGATGCCTGATACCTGATCCCTTCGACACCTTGTGATCACACAGGCTGGTGTGCTTCTTCCAGGTGGGCTTTGTTGCTCCAGTATATTATTAAGATAGGTTTTAAGAGTTGAGTTTATGGATTAAAAGGTAAATACTTATGTTTAATTTTGTGGAGTATCACAAAATTATGCCTCCAGACTGGTTGTACTGTTTTATATTTCCACTAGCAATGTATGTATATAAGAAACACCAAACTCATCGACATTGAATCAATTTTAACTCATAGCAACTCTGTAAGACAGAGTAGAACTGCCCATTAGGGTTTCCAAGGCTGTACACTGTCATGGTAACAGACTGCCACATCTTTCTCCCATGGAGCGACCGATGAGTTCAAATTGCCAACCTTTCGCTTAGCAGCCACGAGCTTAATACTGCACCACCAGGGATGCACCGGCAATGAACAAAGGGCGACTTTACCATGGAATCACTAATAAATTATCTTTAGATTTTTGCCGATGTGAGAGGCAAAATATATAAGAAAATAAATGTTTTACATTCGTTTTTTAAATTTCTCCTTTTGTAAGTAAGGCTGTGTATTTTTGCATATATTAATGAGTTATTTTCCCTTTAAAAAATCTATTCACTATCTCTTTATATTTTTGTCTGTTTTCATTTTGGACTTCTTTTTTTTCCTTTCAGAGTTTTTAAGAGTTCTTTCATTTTAGGGATATTAACATTTTATTCCCTTATACATAATTAGCAAATATTTTTCTAAGTCCTCAGTTTTGACTTTGCTCATAATGTTTTTTGTCACGCATATCTTTTCCCCCAGGTGCTGTTTTGTATACTAGAGATATAATTCTGTCAAAGGAGACCAACAATATCTAGTCTTTGTCAGCGCTAATGTTCCAGAGACAGAAGATAAACAAGATGATTTTGGATAGTACTAAATGCCAGGAAGACAAAACAAACAAGCAAACAAAATGATGAAATGATACAGGAGGGAAGCCTCTCTGATAAATAGATCTTTTTTAAAAAAATAATTTTATTGGTGGCTCATACAGCTCTTATCACAATACATACATGCATCCATTGTGTCAAGACATTTGTACATTTTTTGCCATCATCATTTTCAAAGCATGTTCTTTCTACTTGAGCTCTTGGTATCAGCTCCTCATTGTTTTTCAGCATGAGGGGTTTATCTGTCCTGGATTCCCTGTGTTTCCTGCTCTTATCTGTACCCGTGTACATGCTCTGGTCTAGCCAGATTTGTAAGGTAAAATTGGGATCATGATAGTGGGTGGTGGTGGTGGGAAGCATTAAAGAACTAGAGGAAAGTTGTATGTTTCATCGTTGCTATATTGCACCCTGACTGGCTCATCTCCTCCCCGAGACCCTTCTATAAGGGGATGTCCAGTGGCCTACAAATGGGCTTTGGTTCTCCATTCTGCACTTCCCCCCTCATTCACTATGATATACTTTTTTGTTTTGATGATGCCTGATACCTGATCCCTT